TAGTAATTAAAATATTTTCAATTTTTTATTCTGTTAATTATAATTAAGAAATAAATAAACTGATACCGTAATTATATCCAAGAACTCGCATCTCAATGAAATAATCATCATTTCCCAAAATAGACAGCCTGGTAATGTGTCTTGATCGTAAAATCAAGTATCAGGGATACATATTTATGAATTTCTTGCTTAAAGTTTAAATGGTTTTTTTAATAAAGAAATATCTTCGACATTATATTATTAAATCATTACCTTTGATTCCATACTTTTCTTCACTCCTTTCATGCTTCTGACTACAGCGGAGGACATGAGATTCATAGTTCTCAGTATTGTATCAGTACATACGAATGACATCATTCCAAGCATATTCTTTACGATTAGACTCTGATAAAATATAAATTAGAAATTACTCAATTATAATATAGAGTTTAATCACCTGCAGATTACCTTGATAGTTTAACTATATATTTGTCAATCACAGCACTCATCTTTTATCTTATATTAAATTAATACTTTTCCTTATATTTCTCGTTGCGAACTAGTTGAATTACTGGCGATAACTCTGATGAGAAGTATTCCCGGACTTTTAACAAAATGCTTCAGCCTGTTTTCGTCATCATCGGCAATCCCATTATCGTAAACTTATGGATTTACGTGTTACGTAAATTACGGCGCGTGAATCGACCAATTAGCGTGTCACATTTTTATCGTATCGTTACGGTTCACGAAAAAGTCATTGACAAAAATTAATTACCAAATTCTTGCTTACCATTTTCAAGCAACTCCGAGCAACGAAATTTTATTCAATAAAGAACATTCATGGGCATTTATAATCCTTGTATTCTGTCAATTTTTTAGGAGCTCCTAAAGCGTTTTTATTTTTTAATGAAAATATAATTATTTTAATATTTCTAAAAATGTAAATCATGTGTGAACAAGGGTATTTTAATTTTTATCGGCACTTGTAATTTAAAATTCATAATGAGCATATTTTTTGAGAAACGCCAACGCGGTAAGAAAACAAATCAACTTACGTGACGTTACGCAAGAATGATATAACGACTGAGAATTAAAGATTCTAGGCAAGCAATAATCAAATATATGTCAGAGGGTCCATAAAAAATATTTAGTCTCATGTCAAATACGTAAAGGCGTAATCAGCGGATTTTATACGCATTTATAAGAAAATCTACTGAAATTATAAATAATTCAGGATATTAAAAGCTTATCGGATATTTCAATGTTCAAGTGATAATGAAATTTAATTTCACATAAGAAGCCAAGAAGGTTTGGCATATATGTATGCATGTAGTGGAAAGCATTCTTCATTACTTTGATTATAAATCAGAAATAAAATAGATATATTAAGAAATAGAAATATTATAAATAAAAACAGAATTAACAGGAATATGTTAAAACATTGAACTAAATAAGTTAAAATTATTCGTCATTTATTCTATTGAGAAATTGAATTTCGATCTATGTTATCTCTAAGTTACTCTAGATAATTCTGATTGAGTCAATTTGTATATTGATGTATGTAACAGTTAACTTCGAACGTAAGTAAAACAGTGCGTCGAGGTTTATAACTGTACTTAGATGCAGGGAATAGAGGAGACGATAATGAAAATTGGATACAAAGGGTACCCGCTCGGTTCGCCCAATCTTTTTGCTTTGTCGAGCGCATCGCCCTCGGAACTTTTCCTAGGAGCGGATGCTCACGGGTTTCCGCATTCCAGGATCGCAGTCGATTCTGTACGGCAACAGGATAAGGGAATGCCCCGCATACCGAGCGTGGCTGCATTCCAAACTTATTCAACTACTAACGCAGCTGTTTGTCCTCATTTCGGCTCGATCTTTTCGCGGCCCCCTTCGGACTTATCAAACTGCGGATTGGAAAAACTTTCCCCAATCTCTTTGCCATCCAAAAATTAATGCAGTGCTATAGAACTAATATTAAAAAAAATTACCCTCGAACGTTTTACAATTTCTTAGCATAAAAGAATAACCGACCGATAGAATAGAAATGCAAACAGTTTAAGCAGTCTGAGACGCAAATATGGTGATTATTAAATTTGTAGAATACGTCATTTTTTATAGGATACGACGTCGAAGGTGTGTTTGTACGTATCGTATAGTGAATAATCGACTTTCGTAGGCCCGGATACAGGAAGGATGTGGACGAGCCGAAGTAGAACGTGTCGACAGAAGGAACTGGCACGAATTTCGATTACGCTGCGATATTGTACATATTTCTGTGCCACGAGTATTCGAGTACATAGTCACTTATTCTCACACGCCGTTACCGATCGAATCGCGGCGATGATGCTCGAGCTGGCTTCGAGGCAGATAGTTTACGCGGAAAAAACAGACGGTGCACGAGACGGCATTAAATAACGTCAGCGTAAAAATTAGAATTACCGAGTGACGTGCGCGTTATTGAAACAAGTGTTCTTTGCCAAATCTGGCGCGCCGCGATAATAAGTCCGGTAAATTGGTGGACACACTTGTGCACTTATCCCGCGATTCACCTCGGTCGTTTCATTTATAACATAATTTTTATATGTCTCATAAAAAATTATGTGACGGATCGTTCGAGTCAATATCTTTGCACGTACGTCGAATGCGTAACAACGCGTTATAAATAGCTTATCCTGGCGAGGATACTCAGAGAAATATCTTATCTTTATAGCATGTTGCATAAATTGCTCGCGAGGCAGGCGATAATTAATTGGTTAATCGTATGAGAGTCATCTAATATACTTATCTCAGTAGCATAGAAAATTAGCCGCGTGATCCTTACAATTGTCATACCGACCGGTAGCAACAATTATTTCTTTGGAACAACTTTTAAAAATAACACATGAATATTTAGTACGCTGAGATGAGAGCCGGAATCGATCGAGATGACACTGAGAAACTGTCTCTAGAATAGCACACAGATCGTCGAGAACTGTTAATCCGGAATTTCGTGAAACCGAAACTAGCTAGTGGGCCACTGTCGTGTCTTTTCGATCTACGAAGAGAGGAAGGAAGTACGCGAGCGGTACGCGAGCCCGCGAACTCGACGTTCTGAAGCGCTGGAAAGAACTGGCCAACCAGAAGCCGACGAAACAAGAATTCCTGCTGTTCCTTCCTCCTCGCGAGTCCGCTCCGCTGCCTTGCCTTGGCTCAGCTTGCCTCACCTTGCCCTGCCAACGTCATCGTACGCGATCATCGTTGTGTCTCGTCATCTGACTTTGTACCGCGTCTGACGTCATTCAAACAAACCGTCAGCGGCATCGTTCCCAATTAAAATCTACGGTTCATCATTTCAACAAAAAACGTATATTTGAATAACAAAAGGAGAACCTTAAGAGAGGAAACGCAATGGGAAATCGAAATAGGATAATTGAAAGGATTGATTCAAATGTTAATTAACTTCGTTGCTGGTTTTATAATTATTTATTGATTAAAGTTTAATAAGTTTCACAGGATACAAACAGATACAGGTGCAAGTTTTTCTTCCACTGATTTTCACATAAGTAGGATGTCTGGTTACCAAAGTGCTAAAATTCTTAGATCGTCATTGAGTTTTGAATTCGGTTGCAGGGTGTAATATGAGGATCGATTTAATTAATTTCTCTATTCAGATTAATTGTTCTATAATTAGGTAACTCAATGTTATAAAGGAAGTAATTGGATTTCTGTGCGGATGGAAATAAAGTGAGATAAAAATTTGTTATGTACGTAGGTGTAGAGTGGCGAACGGGCCGAGAATTGCGGGATCTCGTTATCAGTTCGATTGTGTCCGGTCGTGTCGTTTGTCCGGTTGCCGGAGAACTCGTACCTCGTGTACGTATCAAGATGTGTCGTGTCAACGTCACGGTTGCTGTCGGCGATGGTATTCCGGTCGACGCGTTGGTAGCACTGCTAGGTCGGTTAACCTGGCCCAGAAACTAAGCCGGAACTACCGGAGGAATCAATGACCTTGGCACGAGTAATGCCAAGACACGCGAGGAAGAAAGTCCCATTCGCATTAGTTTGTTGCGCTGCGGTATGGAGTGGAATCGCGAAATTTCACGCTCGCAATTAGGACTCCTTGCTCGAAACGAAACAAGGACGAGTCACTCCCAAAAGGTATAAATCGTGTGACGAAAATATAAATAAAATAAATTGAATGTATATCAAGATAAAATAATTGATTATTTGGTAAAATATTTTTATTACGATTGCTTATACTTGAAGAAAACAATAAAAATAAATTGGATAACAAATAGAATTAATGTAATTAAATTAAATTAATTATAAACGTAGTACTCACAGGATGTCCAAGTTTTAGATAGTTATATGTAAGATAATGAAACGAAATAATTTTGCAAGAGACGTAGAAGAAACTGATAAATTATTCAAATGAAATGTAAGATATTCTACAGGATCTAGGTCTGTTACGTTTGAAGAAAACACTTCTTATGCACATATGCAATTTTTACGTACGTGATACGCGATAATGTATTTACATTGTAGGCGAAACATTATTATGCTATTGTATGTGAAGCAAATTGCTCATCTGTAACGGCATCGTAAATAATACGCTTCGTCCTGACTTTTCTTCGTGAAAATAGTCACGAATCATGTTTAGAATTTAATTTCGACGAAGATTAGCATAACAGACAAGAGTATGACAAAACGCGTGTGAACAGCAAATATTGAACGATAGAATTTCATTAAATTATATTTTATTACCTGATGGAACGAAATAATTCCTAATTGTAGTCTATTTTAAATATATGATTTATTTCCTTGTGATACAAGTGAAGAAATAATTAATTAGTAGATTGCATTGATGGTCTAATTACAAGAATAAGAAGGTCTATACTACGCGAAAATATTTCAAGTTGTAGTCTCAAATGTGGAATTCATATTTCCAATAAATAAATTCCTTGTTCTAATATACCCAATAAAGATAAGATAGATATTGAAAGTGTGAATAAGAATTTTACGAAACTGCAGTGTAGAACCAGCATCGATAGATGACACAGTAGATCCAGCGACGTGTAGTTCGTAGTCAGACGTACCAGTCAGACTTGGTCGCGTGCTTTAACTCTCCGACTACTTACCATTCCGCATTATTTCGAGACTTCGAATCGAACTTCGAGGTTATCGCTTCGAGACTTCGACTCGAATCGAGAGACGAAGTCGGCTTTTAATTTTCATTCAGCTCGGCCGACGGAGGGTTAAAGAGTGTAAGTAGTAGTTTGGTTATTGCTTAACTTAAAAAGTTATCAGTGCAACATTTAACAATGGGAAAAGTCTGCTGTGTATGTGGAAAAGAAGAGAGTTCTTATAAATGTCCTGTATGCAAAGAACCGTAGTAAGTATGTTAGAGGTTATGTTTTCTAGATTATGTTCAAAATATTTATGAATGTTGATACTTGACAATCTTCAGAAACAGCTATTATATTGTCATTAATAAAAAAATGGATTACAACAATTATTTATGTTAAATAATAATGTGTAGAGATAAAACAGAATTTATTACTTTTCGAAGCTTTATGTAAGAGCAGTAAAATTTATGTGTACTTTTGTATGAATCAGCTGTTCGATAGATTGTTGTAAAAGTCATAAAACGAAGAATTGTGAGTTGTCAAAACCTCAGGAGAAGAATGCCATAGAAGACGTAAAAGGTGCTGTGAAATATGACTTTCCAACAGAGGACACAGTTCCAATTGAGAAACTAAGACAGTTACGTGATAGTGAAGATTTGAAAGATTGTTTAAAAAATCCACATGTGCGAAATATTATGCGTGGAATTTTAGCTGACAAAAATCCAACGAAAGCGATTGCTTCAGCTATGACCGAGCCAATATTTGTTGAAATGGCAGATGCGTGTTTAAAAGTTGTCGAATCTCAATAAATGATCATTTTTATTTTTATTTAAACATGTAAGACAATTATAATAAAGTATTTCTACATTTTCATACCTTTTTCTGTCGACTCTATTTTTCCCTTTTCTCTCCTATTAAAAATTGTTACCGAAAGGAAACGAGAAAAGATGTTCTTATTAAAAATTTGTTATATTTCTTGTAATAATCAAATATAAAAGTACATTTACAATAACTGAGGTACATTTGTATAAAACGCATTAATATTTTGACATAGACATGATTTTTTCATAAGAACATCTAAAAGAGAGAAAATAACCGAATCGGCTTCTTACAAAGGTCCGTGTATAGTTTGAACAATAAAATAGTCCTGCTTTAAAATTGGTTAACAAAAATTAGAAAGACGAACGTTAGAATCTCGTGTCGGCGGCGTAATGAGGTGACACATAGTTTTCGAGATCGTCCGGTAATTCTGTTCCATCCAATTCCTTCTGGAGGGAATGATACCTTTTTCGAACATGGAAAGCTGCCATTTTCGGTTGCCTGTCTCTTGTGAATATTCCCTTCTTATTGCCACCTACTCTGATGAATGCTAGAAAAGAAGCTATTATTTTTTAGATTCCTTAATAAAATGTTTCGTTCATTTCTTCCTTACTTTGAGCTGTTCGAAAATCAGCGAAATTCCAAATAAATTCGCCAATGAAAAATCCCTTGTTCCTTAATTGATCAAAGGCTTTAAAATGTTGAGACAGTATTTCCTTCTGATATTCTTCGCTCCACACATACTCAGGAAGCTAAAGTGCAACAATTTTATACGACACTTTTAGAAATAATATAAACAATATTTTTTAACTAGGATCGTAAACTGTGCACGTATTATGTGCAAGTATTTTCAATCAGAAAACTTAATTGCTTTTGACTCGTGGACAGGATAATTTACCTCGTGCAATCCGGGCATGGTATCGGCACCGTACTCGGACATAAGCACAGGTTTGTTGTATTTTTTATGCCACGCTTCGGCCTCCGCAATAACTCTGCTCGTTACCATATCGACCCTCCCTGGATTCGTGTACCAGGCATTGTAACGATTAAAGCTGATAACATCGAGATATTCGCCAACTTTATCTTCCTGTTAGCAAATCATTTAACTCAATAAATAACTGTTACAATTTTACACTCCCTTTTTCACTTAATGTATTAAAAAAATTATTTTTAATTTGCGTATTCCCTGTAATAAAGTATTGACCTGTTCATATCCAAAAGAATAATTTTAATTATTGACCTGCACTGCTCGAGCCATAGCGATAGTGACTGGTCTGGTAGGATCGAGCGTCTTCGTATGATGAACGATCTGTTCAAAATAAATATCGGCTTTCGGAAGTTGCGTTCTCGGTTCATTAGCGATGGACCACATGATTACAGAGGGTCTGTTCTTGTCTCGCCTTATGAGCTCCGATAACGACTCCTTATGACGAGAAAGAAGAGCTGCCGAAAAGTTCTCAGTGTCCACTGATGGGCACTCGTTAATGATGAGGAAGCCTAATCTGTGGAGAATGAAACAGTGTAACTCGATCGAACGAAATTCGATGGAATAACATAAAATAATAATATTAGTGATTGTTTACCGATCAGCTAGATCAAGTACTTCGTCGCTGTATGGATAGTGGCTAGTTCTGTAGGCGTTCGCACCGACCCATCGTAACAGTTCATGGTCCCTAGCGACGGTGACCAAATCTAAACCGCGTCCTCTGATGATCGAATCTTCGTGCCTGCCGAATCCCCGCAGATACAAGGATCTATTGTTAAGTAGCAAACTCGTGTTTGTCCATGTCAACGTTCTTATACCGATCGGAAGCCTGTACACGTCCACTTTGCTGTCATTTGCCACGGACAACGAAACCTTCGAATCGTAACGTAATTACTAATGCCACGTTTTAGATTTTAGATAAAATAATTGTGCACAGTTACGTGTAAGGATATAATAGCAAAGGAAACAGCGTACCTCCAAGGTGTAAAGGTATCCCTGTTTCGAATGCATACCAATAGGCCACCATAGATTAGGCGACGGTACCTTCAGCGTACCGGAAATTCCATAAACTGGCTCTTTTACAGCTAAACCGTCTTCGGCATCGAGTAGGTTCACTTTGCAGATAGGAATTTCTCGCTCGTGCAACCCGGCTGGTTCGATTATGTACTTTACTATGCCAATATCGCCGATCAATCCCGTTTTTACAGTGATATCTTTAATGTACACTCTAGGCTTTGTATGCAATAAAACAGGCCTGTAATTTCGAATAGATTAGAAATCATTCATTTATGTATTCATAAGAAACACAACTGTTTGAAGGGTACATGAGGCTTTTTTATTTTTAATCGATTTTTGATATTCAACTGATAATTTGTTAGAAATCAATTGTATGGGAGTTATCTAAAAACTGTTGTTATACGATTGACGTAGAAAGCCAGTATGCTACTTTTACCTACATCCTTTTCATTCTACCCACCGCACATAAATTGTTCTGCGCTGAATTGTTCTGCTTTTGTTACGAATATCGCCGCTAATAATCAGTTGCTATCACGAAACATTTCTGCGGCTCAGTGAGAATTTTCTAAAAAGCTAACAAATAGGATGATGCGATAACGTGCTATTGTCTCTTTTGTTCAACAATACTATCGTTCTGTCCACGAAATGTTATCTGAATTCCAGTTGTATGTAATTCAATTTTTATTACCACTGTCCACGTTAATCACGGGTATAATGTTTTATTTAACACGTACGTTTCAACATCTTCGTTACGTCGTTTACTGTTTTCTCATTCAAGGCTACAGTATTGAAAGTCGTGGAATTTGACTTAATGTCTAAAAAGTGTATGTGAATGCGCGAGAAATGTCGATGATCTTGAAAGCGAGGCCTTGGAAAAATCAAAGATTCCAAAGAATTCTTGATAAAAAGAAAATATTCTATAGATGAATTTGTCATTTATCTACATGACTCTTATTTGAATCGCTCGATACAGAAAATTACAGTTTTTCTAAAAATTGATTCTACAGGATTTACTGATTGCGGAATGATCGCGCGTTTACTTACCTATGTATGCCGGCGTAATTGAAGAAATCAAAAGTGTAAGTCTGCACGTGGACGGTTCCATTGTCGGCGGCGGTATCGACAATTTTCCCTTGTGGCACGCTCGTCTGAAGGAGGGTATTATCCACCGCGACTGTAATACGATTTTTACCGTCGTAAACCAAATACGAAGAGATCTCAGCTTCAAATGGGAGATGACCCATTTCATGATTCGTAACCAATCCTCCGTTTACCCACTAGAACGTAAACAGAATAAACTGGATCGTGCTTTCAATATTTATTATCCCATGAAATAAAGTAGGTACTAAATTAGTAATGTTAATATTCTTCAGTTAATTTAATACTGGTCAATTAATTAAATATGATTGCAAACACGCGAAACATAGTGAACATTACGACTCGTTTCCTTGAAGTATACGAGTTTGATCCAGTTATACAACAAGATATAACTCCTATAAAATTAATGTAATGGCACTGTCATTCGAGAATCTAATAACTAAATGACTCATATCATTGGTATATTTTAAAACATTTCATAGATCTACTGGGTGATAAACTGATATAAATCCAATCTCTGCAAGGATTTGTTTATCACATTAATCACATGGTAATAATTTCAAACGAATGACACTTGATTTCTTCGTAAGATATCATAAATTATTGAATAAACTGTAGATTTTATTATTACTATTTATATAAATATTGAATTTACACAAAATATAGGAATTGCAATAAAATATCAAGAACTGAATGTATATTTCAATACAAGAGAGAATATTGAACTTAAAAGACTTACCACCTGCGCGAGATAATTTACAGAACCGAACCTGACAAAGACTCTTTGGTCTCGCCACGATGTCGGCACAAAAAAGGTACGCTGGTACCAAACAGCCCCTATATGATCTCTCAGTTCCCTGGATGTTGTGATATCGTTGTACGACGAAGGAACAGGCATTTGCATCACATTTCCTACCTGCATCAAATATATAAGTTTCGCTACATTATTTTACTATTAATTAATTAGAAATTATAATAATTAAATAATTTGATAATCGAAGTTTATTTCAGATATTGTAGTTATATAATTAGATACACTATACCTTTGACAATTCGTTGGCAAACCATGCTTGCTTATAGCCTAATAACGTGTCATCCGATGGGGAAATGATGAAGTCCCACATACCGTCTAAAGATTTCACCTTAACATGAAATTGACGTATCACTAAACAATTTTTATGATTAATATATCGATCTTGGAGTGCAGTCAGCTGTTATATCAATTAAAACTTCTTTGCATAATTCGATTTTAATAAAAGTAAAGATGTGAAGCAGTTAATCGTGTAATACGAATTGTTTGTATTGATAATAAATATAAGGATAACAAGAATTGACAAATAACTACCTCCCGCGATTCACTTTCCCGTGGGTAGAGCATACCAGGGAGTGGACTCGGGGGTCCTTCTTCTTGGGGCAGAGGAGAGTAATGTATCGGAAATTCAGGGTAGTCGATCTCCGGACCAGATTCTCCGGCCATCACCGCACCGATCAGAAAAAAGCCTAAATACCACATTCTCGATGACTGAAAACAAATTGTTTTCAATTACAGTACGTAAGAGTTACATGCACAGAGAGCAAATTAATTTTACTTTAATTATCACTTAAAAGACATATTAAATCGTAGTCTTGAAAAATCAAAATATGTATCCAATTTAAATTAATTACTTGAACAATTCACATTCGATTTATCAAGTGCAGGACACGAGACGACTGACCATGTTCATTATTGTCTGTCTTGCTTTTAAGCTTTGAGCAATGGTAGCAAATCATGTTTTCATATCTCCAGGTAAACATGTCGATGACAGATATTGTGTACTTTATAACTTTTTAATCACTTACGACATCAGTAAATACAATCTCAATTCAATAAACATTTTTACCTTTATCTTTTAATTAATTCCAAGTATGCGATAAAACAATCAAATAATTTTGTTTCAAAGAATTTAGCGTATTAGGAATCATAGAATTATATCTTGAGACTCATGGAATAATTGAAGGCACAGGGTTATTTTCCTTATTGTAATTTAAGGAATGTGTATACACATATCGATTTGTATAAGACGCTCCGGGTGGATTTGATGAAGTAGCCAAAGATATACAAGGTGTCTCATTAATCGAATAGAAAGGAGGTGCAGCGGGTGTATAGGTGCCGTAGGGACTCGTTCACAGCAATATCGGCTTCCTGGCACGGTGCCCTCCTACGAGAGCAGACTTCCCTTCCCAAACCATCAAATCGTTTCCCCGTGTCGCACATGGAAGTACGTAGGTATGTACATACGTGCATACAGTCACCGCTGTGTCCCTAATTCTTTGAATAGACACCGCGAGAATTTAACAATTGCTGCTATCTACACTGATGGGAATGGCATTCTCGCGAGTAGTATCAATAACACTGTATAGCATGCAAACGATCTGGGAATTCGTACAAATCTTTTACCCCCTTTCATTTCTGATCGGTTACTTAATATACGTCAAGCTTTAATTAAGTCATGATTGATTAATCAATTTTTAATTCTAAAAATATTATAAACCCGGAAATAGGAAATGTTATCATGACTACTATCTTGTTCTGATTCGAAATTATAATTCTATGTTAATTCTAAATTAGAATTTCATTTGAATTCTTAATTAACATCATATTATTTCACGGAATTTTTTAAATTGTATAAAAGGTATTATAAAGATACAAGTGCGTCCTTTTGCAGAAACGAAATATACTTGAAATAGTATATACTAGTTGTTGAACGATCCTAGCGTCAATGCTCGGATTGATAAAATCGTGCAAAAACACGACTGCTGAATAGTATCGGTTATCGCGTTTTATTTTGTAAATAACATATGTTTCGTATCACGTTTTGATAAAGAGATGAAGAAATCTAGAATAAGTTAATAGACACGATCAACAGTAAAATGTAGTACTAAAACTTTTAATGAAATATCTCGATTTCTTCTAATTAAGATTTCCGTAACAAATTCTCAATAAAATATTACATACTGAGTGTATCCTGAAACAAATTTTTGTACGAAATCCTATTTGTGATCGTACATAAATGTAACGAACTGATAAAATGACGGCATCCCGAGAGTGGGATAACGACAGAGTCAACAAACTAAGACAATTGATCACAGAAAAGTGGAGAAGTTAAATAAGCTTGATCCGAAATTAAGATAATGACAGTCGATGGATTAAGAGAGTCAATTGTTAGTAGTTTTCATTCATGAAATTCGTTGAAAGTGTAGATGTTCATTCAGCCTCGCAGCATTTCAAGTTCAAACGTCAATCGAATTGCACATATTCTCAATTATGAGAATAATTTACATAAATATTGTACAAGCATTAAAATGTAAAAAAATAGTTTCCAACTCCTAAAACTGCTCATTTAAAGGAATTAAATGTGAAGATAAATAATTCGAGTAAGGGTACTTCGATTGCTTTCTAAATTTAGGATACTTACCTTTGCGTAGTTTTCGTATTCAAAACTATATACTACCAAGTTATCTCATAACTGGCAGGTAACGATTTTCCGGTTCGGTACCGCTTATCTTCAGGCGAGGGCGAAGGTGAAAACTTCACGACGGTTCCCGGAATTTATTTTTCGGTTGTTAAATTTTTCTCAGACCCGGTTAACGTAACATTGTACACTGTCGCGTCGCGTCGTCGCTGGGACTTGGCACGTTCTCTTCTATCGAGATCTTACACGCCACTAGACCGGAGGATCGGTGGTTCGGTTATGCCATGCCTATCCCATCGGACTGTGCCTTGCCAGCCAACTGGTCTGCTCTTATATACTAGGTGTCCGCGAATCCACCGATCCCTTCGCGGCCTTCTGATTCACCGATCCTGATAAAGGGTTTACGGGAAAATCCGATTCAGAATCTTTTCTCACTTTATTCTGATTTCATATCATGTAACGAATCTTTGTATTTATACATAATCGTTGAAGTAATATTTCAATTTAATAAGATATAATAATCTTGTCCTAACGTGATAATAGACTTATGTCATTATTATGGCAAACGATAAGCAATAGTATTACTGCAGTCGAGTATAAGATATTTTAATGTCAATTGAGGGAGGTTTCTTATAAATTTAATATAGACCATCCCTAAACAAATCCTTCTATATGGAATGTGCAGAAAAAATATAGCATACATAGAATATGTATAGAAATTTATAATAAGTTGTTTGTACGTCACAATAAAATAATTCTTTAAATTCATACCGCTAAATGTCGTGTACAACTCCGCAATTCACTAATTATTCACGATACGCGACAGCAATTGTTTCAAGAAAATTAAGTCTTGTTCAGAACGAGGCGACGAGCCAGCTGCAGGTGATTCACCTTTGCGCGTACCTTAAATTAGTATTCCGTATAAAGAAAGAAAGAGATTAGCTCGTTGACACTTGTAATGTTGGTTTTCCGGACTTGTCCGCTTTCAGTATTCGGCTTTTACGCACCGCGTTACTTCAAGATTGCGTTATCGCGATGACGCTGTTTGAATTCCTCGCGTGCATATGCTTTCGAAGCCACAGTTTACCTACAGTACGTTCCTTTAATGCTACCGTTGATACGAGATAAGATTTTTTATAAAGATGCGTTTTGACAGAATTTTTAGAACTCAGTTACTTAAATTTGCACTTCCATTTTTTGGTTTTAACTTTACGTACTCAGTTTAGTTCACTTAACATAGCAATTAGCACAGTATCTCTTACGTAAGTAATTATTTTTGTAGAACTGAAAAATAGAAGTACAATTATGATAAGTAGCGTTGATAAGTGCGCGGTCGAATTGGCTAATACTTTTTCTGGGTATTAGACAAAATACAATAATGTAGGAAGTAACGATATTCGATTTAATAAAAAAAAAAATTACAAGTATTTATAACTGGTCCAATTAGGTTTTAGTCTGATTGTGATATGTTATTAAATTTAATGAAACTCGAGTCTTTTCGATAATCGTAGAATAAAAAGATTTTACAATTAACAGTAAAATGTGAAATAAAATAATCTGTGGGAGTACCAGGTCAGAAAATTATCATGGTTGAGTCATAATCTCTCATTAAAATTCTGCAATGTTCCTTGCAAAATGTCTTTTAAATACTCTTTCGACACTTGCATAATAGCAATTATTTTTTAACTAGTTCGCGTACTAAATTTTAAACCAGGACATTGTAAATAATAGAAAATCTCTCTTAACGAAATAAGAAAAGCCTGTGATATGTAGTTTGATACTGAAAGATGTGTTCTAGAATGAATGAACTTTCACGTATTGGCACGGTAACGAGATTTCATCGTTAGATACCATAGTAATTCGGTCAGTTCATTACGGGCTACGATTTCGCCCCGCTTGCTAATGGATCGCTTACAAATGAGGATAGAAAGGTGCAAAGGAAAAAAAGATTGTGAGGATCGCCGGTATTCACGTTTGATTATTCACCGTCTGTTTGCGAGATTCAACGGTCAATATCACGATCGCATTTATACATTCAGTTCCCAATGATTTCGTGAGAAGTAAGAATTAACTTCATGCCCCTAGTAATCATACGTAAGTAATGTGCTAATGAGCGTGATGCGATTATCCGATATCCACTCTGTCCTACTTTTAGATGTATACGTTTGAGTAAATTATATACATAATTACTGAATACAATTTTAGATAACAAATACGACCTAATACAACGTAAGGCTGTCTAATAAAGAAATGTAATTTTGGAATCAAAGGTACGAAATGAGAAATTGACCGCTCGACTAACAAAGCGTTTACGCGCATATGCGCGTGACGTTCGATTATTATGATTGAGTAAAATCTGACGACAAGAATGTAGGTCTGAAAGAAAAATAGTTGCTATTTCATCTGTTATGTTCATCTTGTTGCCTTGCATATTTTAATTGTATTATTTATGGTCTTACAAATGGATCAGTGGATATGGTGGTAAAGAACGATGTCTTTCCTCTTCGCTGACTTTATCGTTAGCAGTTTGATGACGAACTCACAGCTGTATATTGTAGAGGGCATACTAAATCTGTTAGTTTTTTACAACAATCGGTATTTCAGTATTAATGATACTATCATGGATTAGGTATATGAGTAGATCTATCAAAATCGATCAATGCATTTTTCCCCTTCTTGTGGTTTTAACGCCAGATTAAAATTTCCATGTTACTGATAATGATATTAATAAATTATGGGAAGCAATCCTAACACTCAGTATAGTACGAGAGCCAGTAATGTATTGTAAAAATGGCTAAATTCTGATTAATAAATAAATGGAAGCGAATGTTGGCATTTTTATTTCACAATCCTTGACCAAATTATCAATTTTATGGATCATTCCAAATCAGGGTTCGAGCAGAGTTTATAAGAGCTGAGTTGGACTTTGAAAACGACATCAAACGATGAACTACAATCTACTTTAGAATTTCTGTATTTTAAATTGTATGTTGTTCTGTCAATAATTTAATGTGTTGATAACGTCAATACATGTTAATAAGTTCATGTATTAATGAATGTTACGATAATCGAGGCAATTCTATTTCTCGATGCAGTTAGGTATGGGTCAGCAAGGAGCCCGTTGCTGCTTAATTTCCAACTGCCGGGGGATCGAGTTAATTGGTAAAAAGGCGATTGACCCACCGCAGACAGAGGTCACCATCCTTTGGAACAATCAGTGACTTCCGGCGGGCCGCGTCTGTCTCTGAATCATTTTGATATTTCTATATCAGTATTTTTATTCGCTTTTTTATTTCGGTTCACAATTTTTTTACGTAAGCATGACGCACAATGACAATTCTTTTACACTGTCACCGTTGAATTTTAATCAAATCGTATCATGTTACATTCATGTCATCTCTAATTGTGCAATGTGAGAAATATTAATATATGTATCATTCAATCATCTGTATTATTGTTATTTATATTTTTCTATCCATCAAACTTCTTCGACGATCCTCAAATGATTTTCCAGTTTTGGTACGTTTTTAACATAAATCGTATATTATATTTTATTGTAATTAATCTATTTCATTCCTCCATTTATATTCTCTGTTCATGAAGCGGTTTAATTTTTCCAGTTTCAAATATATCCTTCCATAGAAGGTCAGCTTTTAGAAGGATACGAGCACTTGACGGGTTTTATTTTAGACAGCATCGCTCCTCTATGGCAAGATGCTCGGATTCAATGAAAGAATCATTTTTTGCACCACTCGACACCAGACGTTACTCCGGCGAGGAGTTATTCATCATAGATTCTCAAGAAGTGCCGAGATCGTCGCGGCACATGTCTGCCAGTCATTACAGTTGATATTTACTACATAATATTGGAATAATAATATTGAAGAATTTGTGCTGTAGTTCTGGTATCCACGTTTCCGGCAGAACGCCCACTCGTATTCGGCAGGATGAATTCATCGCGTATCTCTTGGCCTAACGCACTTTTATCTCGCGGGAAACGGCTGGTCGTTGGCCCATGTTATTCTTCACAGATATTGATATTGATACAACTGTCTCTGTGTTACATAGCTACGCTCTTTTAGCTCCAGTTCCACTAAATACATTCTTCAATAATATAACTATGCATCTTATAAATTGATTGATCTATTTGATAATAATTCATAATCTTATGATTCTATTACGTAAAAATCTATTTCATTAATTCAGAATTTGACAGAAAATTTTGTGCAATGAAATAATGAAACATGCATAAGAGATTTATTGTAAGTACGTATTGACATTATATTGTATTAAAAATAACGTTATACGGTTTTCTATTTTAATTAATAATTTCTTAATTAACGTCTGTTTGAAACAAGAAGTTCAGATTGACCATCCGCATTTTCTACGCGATATCGTGCAGCCAACGAGGTCATTAAGTATGATAGCCCATATCCACGCTACAAATTAAAGCATCCTTCTATCACCTATTCCAATTTTAGAATTTTGAACTTAGTCAGATACGAAATTCTTAATTATTTCTTAAATTGAAAACAAGAACATATTATTACATTCGAAACTGCGATCTCTTTCTCCATTCAAACTAGCCCCGATCCATTTGACTGAAAATACCCTACTATATTTCGAGTGCTCCCTTTCCTATTTATATGCTCGATGAGCAGCTGGGTATAGAAAAAAAAAGAGAGATAATGGTAATTTCGAGTGACCACTAACCCACGGGCACCAACGTTATCATCGTTCAATCCTGAAACACCTACTTTCTACGCCCGAGACACCCACACGCGTAGCGACGGCCGTAGGTCTCGCTAACTTTTCATCGAATTATCTTCTATTATTTACACAAATGAGCATTACCAAAATTGACTACTTACAGCCAATATAATTTCGTATTTTAATCACTAACGGAATACGTCGAGGCAGCAATTTCAAGAATAACTGGCATTATTTATAGGATAATTCCAGTATATTTTCCGTTGTATCGTACATGAATGAAGGCACTTGTATTCTATTAAACATGCATTTTTAATACAGTGGAACTCTGAGTATCTCAACAGTCCGGCGAACAACGCCGTTTGGATGATAGCTCACCTGCTATTCCTACTTGACTAGTTTTCTGTTCGAGAGATCAGAGGCTCTTAGCGAGGTGGTTCGGATACACGAAGTTCGAATAAAGTTCGAGGTTTTACTGTACTTATCGAAAATAGTAGTAAAACTAAAAGCTCATGAGTTCTCAAGAATGAAAATAAAAGAACCCAATAATCCAATAATGAAATTAGAACGACAGTACCCATAGTATGATCATTCATGAGTGAAACAAAGCCCTGTTTATATAAATAATTAATTACGAAAGTGGAAAGTTTGTATTTCGAGGACAATATTATGCAATCAATGCAATGCATGGAGTGCATAAAATTCTCTTACTGTCAATCCTAAAAGATTAAAGAAATGCAAAGAATGTGTTGGGTCTGTAAATAAAAAATCAACTTCTTTCACTGAGAGTAGATAATGTCTCTACCCGGGGGATTAGAATCCGAAACTCAGTTGCATTATTTATGAGATGGGGTATGACATTCACAGAATAAACGCATTTACCGGTGGACGTTCACTGGGACCTGAAGAACAAAGTTTCTCGTTGAACAAGGGCGAGCTAGCACATTTCTGGCGGGGAGTGGGGATACCCTATGGTGGCTCCTCAAAGGAAAGTAGCGTCAGTCGCGCGGCACGCGGCGCACCGTACGCGTGAGAATAGTTCGCGTCGTATTCACGGTGCCAAGAAGTCGAAATAAAATAAAGAAAACACCGCCTGCCGTCGGTTTACGACTGTCAACGATCGACTAACGTGACCGTGAACAAACATCATCGATTCCCGCGACTACCTGGTAAGAATCGACATCTTTTAATGTCATATCTAAACCGCATTCTCTCGTCGCTCCGAAATAAACACCAATTTTTCTCAATTGAAATAATCCCGATCGAGAACAAAGCTCGTCTTCACGATCACGCTCGCGTTCACGGTGATAGTGCGGTGAATTTCGACTGATTGTACTCTTTTTTTAATTACTATACAACATATGTACATCGTACATACGTACTCGACCGTATCACGTATGTATGCATGCCTTTCGTGTCTCAGTCATTCGTGTTTGTGAGAAAGTACTACGTCCTATAGTGTGTGTTTACGTGTACGTATATGCATACCCATTGAAACCGTATAGAAGAGGTTTTTACAGCGGCTCGGAAATCGTTACGGAGATGAATTAACTTGTTTAGGTTAACGAAAGGTTTCTCCATCGTGTGGGACGTCCACGCGTATGTACATGTGTTTTTTTTCCTCTTTTGTTTATGCTATGTATTTATTTGAATGCCTGCTACTGGGACGATTACTCTATCCTTTGTGACGCACACACGTGCTTCCATTTTATGTCGTGACAGAGTCCAGCTTGGTCGGTGGGTGACTAAAAAATTGTTCGCCTTCGCTGCCAGCGGTTTTCATCCCTCGTCTTCGTTTCTCTGTTTATTCCGACTGCTTTTGTCAGATTCTACGTTTCGCAGTTCGAAGACGAAGTACGAATTTTGAATAACTCATTTTCTATTCATTTAGAGATTGAACTAACGTATGTTGACACAGCATGTTATAATTAACATGCCACTGGCAGCAGAACGATAATTTGTTATTCTTTGACTAAATGTTAGGCATTTCCGTTTGCAATTATGTCCGAAATTAATCCTAATTAATATGTGACCGCAAATTATACCCGTGAACTATTTACGCTATCCTACTCTCTATCGTTCTCAACGATTATATTGCTTGCCTAGAGTTGATACACTGACTAGTTTTTTTCTCTAAACTAATTAAATTATCCCCACAAATTATTTGCTACCACGTTGTATTAAAATAAGATCAAATCAATGTGACTGCTCATTTTTAATTACTATTTTATTAATCATTGAATTAGGTATACATTTTTTATATTCACATGTCGTTTATTTAAAAATGCAAATGTTTACGCGATCTTTCAAAGAATTTCCGGAGCATTACACCGTCGTCGTCGTCGCGTCGTGACAAAAACGAAACGTTGCCTTGCTCGAGTTTATAATTTTAGCCAGTTGTGTGTATGTGTATGTGTGTCTGAAAGTGAGAGAAAAAGAATTGATCCGCGGTCTCTGCGGACGAATTCCACGGCTGTTGCGCCGATCAACGAATCTGAATCGGGCCAAAACGTTTATTATCATTAGCGGCGCATTCATTCGAGATGTTTTTCATTTTTCAATCGCTTGACTTGTGCATTCTCAATCGGCTCGGGTTACAGCGATTTATTACAAACGAGAAATGACTATTAGAATATACAGAATATGTGGAATACTATTGCAAGTATTATTCGTAAATATATTCAGTTTTTATAAAAAAACCTATCCGCGTTACTAACAATGCATTGTCGTCTAGTCGTGTGTGGGATAAGCTAGGGTAAAGTAACACTTAACTCTGTCTTAATAAGAGCTCGAAGGGGAATGAAAGCGAGCAACGCGATAAACGATAAAATTACGAAACTGTACACGAAACAAAGAACCGTTTCAGAGAGAAATGAAATCATAACACTGGTTCATTCAATTCAGGTGTATTGCCCTTTTGTCCTTTATATTAGGAATTAATCTTTTATCTTTCGACAATTCTTATAATGTTTAACCTTAAAATCGTTCGCTTTTACTGAAATCGGAAGATCAACAGAATTCTTGATACATTTTATTAATTAAAATATAATCATCTGTAGACTAAATTAAATAATCTTCTGATAACGTTAGAACCAAATTCGATACGTGAGGGAAGCTTTGAAAGCTTTGAAAACTTGTAAGCTACATATTCGGTTACGTAAACAAATACGTGACTTTCAATAATATCTTTTATTACGGTCCATGTGAGGTCTTATATGTATAAAAAATTGTACATGTGAATACAAAATATCTTTTTATTCTAAAGTTGTATTTACAAATCGGTCTATTATTTTTTATTATTTCATATAATGAAATATATTTTAATTTTTATCATCAACCAATTAACGTGAAGAAAGCGGGAGTCAATCACGTGATCCATTCAGTGGCGCGTCACAGTCAGCGAAGCGTCGCATCTCTATGGGATTTGTGAAGTGCGTATCCTCCATTCCAGGTAAATCGTTGAAATACTTATCCATGGAATCATCGTTGGTCGGGTGAAATCAGACCAAGTGTGCGGATTAAGGAGGAAAACGCTGGGAGACGAACGATCGTGAGTTGGGAGCTCGGATAAAGTCAATTCGAAACGAGTGGCGTCGTTAAGCTTCGTTGGACACGGGGACCACCAGGAAGTATTCGAAAGTAGCCGGAATTCTGTCATCGTCCCTGAGTCACACCGGAATCGAAGAAGAGGCGATGATCATGATACATCCTGGAAACATGCTGTCCTTACGTTGCTGCGTGAAACCAGAAATGTACCATGCTTCCTTCCCGAGCATTCAACTGTCCTACCGGTCGCCGATCTGAACAGTGAGTTCAGCTTTTATTGCCTGTTTCTCATTTTATTACATTTCTACCTGTTGCACATCCTCATGTCTCGTATTGTGTTATCATTGATGCGTCTAAGCGATTTTCGTGCGACATAATTTCATTGAAAAATGAGTGTCGTTTGAACTTGCCAATTTTAGGAACCTGACATTCGAATTTTTTATACAATGATTATTCTTTTGTTCCGTGTTCTTTTATTTAATGAAAATTATTGAATTAACGCAGCCTTGCATTTTAGCAAATCGCAATTCATTTTTCTAAAGTATTTTTAACAAAATCAGTTTACATTTATTATTGGTTTCGAACACAAGAAAATCGTCGTAATTATTTGTATCGCTTAGTTCTAAGAGGAAAATGCCGAGAGGAAACCAATATTTAAGATGGAGCAGAACGCGCGTAATTTCCAAGTTGTCGCGACGGTCTTCCTTTGAATCGTGACGGATCTCTCATAAACCGCAATAAGGGAGATACGTCAAGTATACTTACTGACGTCAAATATGAAATATACATAAATCAAGACCTAATAAATGATCAAAAGACACGAACAGTAGACGTTTCTTTTTATTAAGCTTTGATTATTTCATGCGTGATGGATTGTAGAGTCGATGATTGTCGAAATCAATCGGAACGTTTTAATATACTGTTCGTAGGTCGGCGGATGGACGTGGTATCAGCTGGGAAGTCCCAACACGGAGCAAAGGACGAGCTGGGAATTCGTCGTCGACGTCGACGTAACGGCAAGTTGACGAAAGTCGGTAGATTCGCTCGTAGGAAACGCGAGCGGAAGAAGAGTGAGACACGTTTACGAGTCAGGAAGGGTGAAAGAAGAGGAAGGGGATCGAGCTCGCGGGAAGAGAAGAAAAAAGAAAAGAAAAGTTGTGGCATTGAGTAAACCGTGATTCCTCCAAGAACACGTATAATCGCGTGTTCGCCTCGCTTGATTCTTCACTGCCATCCGTGTTCATTGATTAGATTAGACGTCACTGCTATTGGTGTCCATTCAGTGGCTGCCTTACCACATTTTTTTCCTCGTACCGTTGAATTCACTTGGATTCCTCGCGCGGTATCCTTTACGCTTGTTTCTTCCGCGATTCGAACGCGAGTGCCTCAGTGGAGTCTACGTTGTATTTCCGGCCGAGCACTCAGTTTCATTCTTTCGCATTTCGTGAAAACCAGTGCAAGTGAGAGAAAATTATTTGTGCAAGTTTTGCGAAAGGATTCGTGGTCGCAAGATGATTCTACTGCTTCGCACGATTCCGATGGTGCTGTTCACTGTGATGGCTATGGGAACACCCCGGTCTTCGGTCATGTACGCGGACGACAAAGTGGTGAGTAGACGATATAAGATTAATTACACATTTTTATGATAAACCATATTTTTATATGAAATTATATTAAATATGATAATTTCGATTATTTGTTAATGGATAAGAATCTATTAGAAAATTGTTTGAGTGGTCAATAGAGATAGAACCGATTTTCAGTAACATACATTAACGCATTTTCTCAGTTAAAGTAAAAAACCA